CCAAATAATTACCTGAGGTCCAGAATGAGGTGTCTCTTATAGCAGCAATAACTGTCCTGAGCCCCTCCATCCATCTCTGGTCTTCCACACAGGTAATGGGCAGGAAAGGAACCCCACACACTCAGCTGGGCTCCAAATAGTTGCTTTTGGCTGGCTATTTCCAAACAAACATAGGCTGTCTCCCTGCTGTTCTGCACTCTGGTGGCTTCTGCACGGGGGCCACATGGAGGGAATCAACACTGCCTGATGCTTTAGCTGCATAACTTACTCACAGGCTTGTTATCCATGGGCCTGCTTGTAATTCTCTCCTGTGCCCTTCTGCAGGACATCAACGTGTTTTCCCTGGAGAAAAGCCCAGCTCCCAGTTGCTTTTTCCTCAGTGTTTCTCTAGACAGACACAATCACTGCAGGTGACTCCCAACCAGGTGCCCTGTGCCTGGACTGTTCCTCCAGTGCTATCCCAGTGGGATGCACACCCCCACTTGTCCCTGTGCTGGGTCCACCATAGAATCCCTGCTGTCATGCCCTAGGAATGACAATCTGGAAGGCTTCAGCACAGCCCTGGTGTTATTGCAGACACTCTGAGTGGGAAAAACAGAAGCAGAAATCACATTTGAGGGCTGCTGAAGCAACAGCAAAATTTGTCTGGGAAAAGCAATGGATTTCCCCTCACTTCAGTGCTTTAAGAAGAGCCTTGAAATGGCTCAGGAGTGGTTTGGGGCCAAGTGGTCTTTCCCTGAGAAAGGGAGATGGGCTGGAAGACCCATCCATCCATCCATCCACCCATCCATCCATCCATCCATCCATCCATCCATCCATCCATCCACCCATTCCCTATAATTTAATGAATTTATGCTAATTTGGCATGAGCCCATTTCATGGAAACATCCTGTGGTGTCTCTTGTTTGGATGATGTCCAATAAATCCAACCAGAGCTTTTGAGACTCCATCCATGTCTTTGCTGGTGTTTTTAATCAATGTATGGTTCCCGTGAATCAGGTTCAATGGGGGACATGTGGCAGATGGAACAGTTCATCCCAACTGCTCTTGTTCCAGGTTGATCTGATGCTCTGGGCCATAAACAGTTATTTGAAAGCAATTGGCATTCCTTTTTCCTTGTCAATTTTGCCACTTCCACCACAACTCAGAAAATTTCTGGAGACACAAGGAAGTGCCCTGACAATCAAAGTAATTAAATGTTCTATCTTTCAGCCTCCTACTTTCAAATCACCTTTCCTATCAGGTCCCCCTGTGTAAAACCACACTAAAGAAGTTGGGTTTTTTCTGGGATTGTGTCTTGTGGTAGATTTTTAGTGAGTATTTTCTGATGTCTAACCAGGGGCTGAGTTTGCTCTGCAACCTTCCTTCTGTGAGGGAGAGTATAAAAGTTTCAACTCCTTTAATCGTCTCTTCATTTTAATGGGAAGTTGGTATATTGAGGACTTTTAGTACTTTCTCACATGTGATTGAAGTTGATGATGCTCTAAGGTCTCCCTGGAGCCTTATCTTCTCCAGGCTAAACACCCCCAGCTCTCTCAGCCTGTCTCCAGAGCAGAGGGGCTCCAGCCCTTGGATCATCTTCGTGGTCTGACACAACCAAAAGGAGATGAATCCTGTCCCATGAACCAGCCTTAAACTCCTTGCCCACACCTCTGAAAAGCCTCCAGTTATGTTCTCTAGACAGGTGTTTGCTAAGGGAAGAGGAATCCTGCCTCAAACCCCACCACCACCACCCAGGATCCCGAGACAGAGCAGTTTTTAGAGCTCCACTGCACACCCAGCAAGGGCACCACCCTCACACGGGGAATTAGGATTTCATCTCGGGTTGAAGAACCCTCTGCTTGAAGAGTCTTATTAGCCACAAAACTGTTAATTTTGTTTAAACTCCTGGTGATGGCGTCCCACGTATCCCACACCCAAGAGTGAGCTAAATTATTCAGCTGATAAACAGACCATGGAGGTATTGGGGAGTTTGAGATGATTTGAAGAAAGATCGCTGTAGATTGTTCGAGCACGGAGAAACAGCTGACAGCATTTAACACACACACACACACACATAGACTGTGTCGTTCAAAATTACTGCTTATTTCAGCTTTTCAACCCTGATGTGATAAATATTGCTCCTGTGTAACTAATGTGGAAACTATTCTGCAGAGAGCTGCAAAGATCTGTGCAGACTCACAGACACCGACGGCGGAGCCAGCGCGGAAGTTTCTGAGTGCTCAGGGAATGCTAAGTGGAGCTGAGAGTCTTTTTTCACTTGACAAATTTTCTTATCCCTAAAAAGTATAATCAGATGACAGCGAACAGTGCGAGCCGAGGACGATTTCTTGCAAATTCATGTCAAAGAGGGGAAAAAACAGTCAAAACATTTGGATATTTTCGGAAGAAAATAGATCCCTTATTCACTTCATTTTAATGCAACAGCTCACTTCGAAATGTCTCTGAGTGCTCATTTTTTAATAGACTCCCATTTACTGAAATTGAAACAATCCATTTCACTTCAGTTTAAAGTTATTTGGTTTCTCACGAGAATTTAATTTTCATTTAAAATGTGTATAAGTATAATTTCCAGTTGGTCCCAAATTATTTCACCTATTTTTGTCTAACAAACAAATAAAAACCATTTACTTAAACATTTATAACCTTCTTTTCCAAGGAGAATTGGCCCCAGTATGTTTCAGACTGTGAATTTATAGTGGACTTTGCTGATTTCTGTGAGTTTCAGACTCATGTCCTGAGCTGTAAAATCCAAGATTAGAAGTTTCTGTTCTCCTCCCAGATAGCCCCTGAATGATTTTGAGATTTGAATAGGAAAGCTGCAATTAATGAAGGGTGGGGAAATGAGAAGCAGAATATTTTGTAGTCATAAAATAAATGAAGTTTTGCCGTGTTTATGTTATACATATAATACAGCAGGAAGTGAAGATCAAAGCCGTGTTTATAAAGGACTTGGCAAGTTGTGTGCTCGGAGGGCTCATGGGAGGTACTTCAAGAATGAAGTTTGGATTTTTAGCCAGTGGAAATCACTGTATCTCCTTTGACTTCTGCACAAGGGTGGTGATTTACACCAGCAGAGAAGCTGGCTCAAGTGTTTCAAGGGAGAACAGATACAGTAAAGCAAAATATTTTTTTATTTCGACTAAAAAAGTATTTGCCTCATGTTTGTTCTCTATTTCCAAGTACTGGGAGTAACTCAGAGGAACAGGATCCCATTTCCCAGCTTCATTAGCTGCAAGGTTGGCAGAGGGTTGGAACTACATGATCTTTAATGTCCCTTCCAACCCAAACCATTCCGTGATTCTGTAATTTTAAGGTGTAAAGGTGTGAGTGAGGTTTGGAGCTGGTTCTTGCTGGTTCTGGTTGAGGAGGAGAGTATCAGACTGGGGCTGCCCAGAGAGCTCAGCCTTTGGGTACTGGCATCTACCCAAACCCCACAACTCCCAAACTATTTATTTGCAGGCTACAACCCCCTCCCATGTACCTGCTCAGTGAAAGGGAAAGTCAGGTGTGGTCGGACAGGACAATTAATCTCGGGTCTTGCAGAGAGAGCAGCTCAGTGCAGCCTTACTGCTCCCTGCCCGAGTTTTACCATGAACTGCAACGCTCCCATAGGGTGAAAACTCTCCACAGCAGCGATTTCACCCCCGTGGAGAGCTGAGATAAACTCCCCAAATACCACCCTCACCCAGACAGAGAAACTGGAGCAAAGAAGTACAAGACAGCAGCACGGTGAGAGCAGACACGCACAGCCCTGATCCACCACTCCAGGGACACCTCAGCTCCCAAGACACCATCAATCCTGGTGATTTATCCCACTGGAGGGTGTCTCACAGACCTGGGCTCCAGCTGTCCCCAGGGGCACAGCCCCAGAGCTGGAGGGAGCTCAAAACCTCCGCAGGTCAAAATCTGTCCCGTGGTCACGATGCCGTTTCCACTGACTTGAGAGGGAGCCTCGAGCAAGAGGATTTGAAAAACCCTGAGAAAAAGTGCAGAACCAGCTGTACTGCTTCCCTGGCTGCAGGGTTGGTGGGACACAAGTCCCTGGTGGGCTGTGGGACACGTGGGTCCCCGCTGGTAGATGGAATGACAGACCTCTCTGCTTTGCTGAGCTCTGTGCAAAAGGCTGCTGCTGACATCCACAAGTTATTTTAACCTCTATTTCCCCCCCTCCAGGTTTATTACAGCATTCCAGGGGGCTCATCAGGTCCCCTGAGCTGGGTGCTCGTTCAGTGAGATGGTGAGGAAGAGCACTGGCATCCCTGCACTGGTGCTGGAAGGGGATGTTGCTTTGGACATCACGTAGCCCCAGCACATTCTGTGCCTGCTCAGCCTCTTCTGCACGCCTCTTCTGCATCCTTTTCACAGACAACTTGCCAAAACTTTAGAGCACAACTTGTCAGACAACCCTAAAGGAGTGTCCTGGGAAATCACATAGGATCTTCTCCCATCACCCTTAGATAATACCTGGTCCTGCTCCAGGTCCCTGCACAACAACGACATCCTGGGAAGTCAGTGAGACATGCTTCAGACTCCGACACTCCCTGGGGAGATCAAACCTCAGTCATCTCCAATAGAGGTGGGAGCCCTGGACCCACGGAGGCACATCCAGGTGCCTTTCCCAAACTGGGAGGAAGGGAGGACAGCAAAACTCTTTGGAGACCACTGTGCCATAATGACAGCCTGTTTGAAACAGAGCTGCTTGCTCCTTAGTCTAAACTTCATTATTTAAAATGTTGAATGCAGAATGAATTAATTAAAGCAATTATTATGCTGCTATTTTATTCATTTGCTATTTACTTTGACTGATTATGTGAGTTTGGTTAATAAATATTGAGTGTTAATTAACTGAATTAATTCATTGCTGGTTTATTCACCCATCAGCTACCTATCCCTCACATCCGTGCATGAGTTGTGTCCTGAAAGTTTGTCCCAAGGAGCAGGTCCCCAAGGGTCCAGTCACAGGAAGCAGGGCTGGGAGGGGGGACGGGGTCACTTACCAAAAGGCAGGATGAAGAAGAAGGGGAACCAGCAGAGGATGAAAACACCCACGACGATGGCGAGAGTCTTGGCTGCCTTTTTCTCACGGGAGAACTTGAGGAGCCGCACGGAGAGGGAGCTCCTGAAGTTGTGCCCCTTGCTCCGGGTGCTGGAGAGAGGCTCCTCCAGGACGCTGCGGCAGTGGATGCGCAGAACCACCTCCATGGATTTATTCCTCTCCTTCTTGACCCCTGCCTCCAAGCTCCGGGTGGTCCGCCTGGCCACCACGTAGATCCTGAAGTACATCACCAGGATGACCATGAGGGGCAAGTAGAAGGAGAAGAGGGAGGAGAACAGGGCATAGCCCGGCTCCTCTGTGATGCTGCAGATGCTCTCATCCTGCGGCGGCGGCTCCTTCCACCCCAGCAGGGGCCCGATGGAGATGACCATGGAGGAGAGCCAGACCACCACGAGGATGACCCCCGCCTTCCTCTCGGTCATGATCGTGGGGTACTTGAGGGAGTACTTGACGCCGATGTACCTGTCCACGGAGATGATGCACAGGCTCATGATGGAGGCAGAGCAGCACAGCACGTCCACCGCTGCCCAGATGTTGCAGAAGATGCGCCCGAACACCCAGAAGCCCAACACCTCCAGGGTGGCCGAGAAGGGCAGCACGGTGGTGCTGAGCAGCAGGTCGGCGATGGCCAGGTTGACGATGAAGTAGTTGGTGACCGTCTGCAGGTGCCGGTTGCAAGCCACCGACAGGATGACCAGGATGTTCCCCACGATGGCCGAGAGGATGAACACGGCCAGGAAGACCCCGACGCCCACCGCCTGCACGTCCAAGGCGAAAGTCAGCGTGGTGCCGTTGCCGTCGGGGCTCTCCTCACCCTGCAGCCCCCAGGACCGGTTGGCACCGCTCTGGCTGCCCTGTCCCGTCCGGTTCCCGCTCAAGCTGCCATTGCTCAGCTCGGGGAAAGTCATTGTAGAGAAAGTGCGGGCTCCATGGAGGGCGAGGAGAAAGCGGTGCCGAGGCGCAGCTCCCCCGGCATGATCCCCGGCCGGCAG